ACACACACACACACATATATATGCCTAGATATGCACCAGCTCTCCCTCCCTCACCTGTTGAGCCAGTATCCAAGAACCTATAGGTAAATCACCACTATTGTATACAGCAGTGTTTGCCTCCCGTGGCCTTGAACTCTTACAGACCTCCTATTGTATTGTTCTGTCTCCATCCTTTTTAACTAACCCTCTTCCTATTGTATGTTGCCTTCCCCTTCACCCAAGTTAATCTCTACCTACTTACTAGTCTCGAGTTTCCCCAAGTGGGGGATTACCCACCCAGGGAGGGAGACCCACGGTAACGATTGGTGGCGGGGGTGGGGCTGCAAAAGCAGATGATGGACGATAGTACACAAGTGTTTAATGGTGGGGGGCACTGAGGGCTTCTCTCTGAAAAGAGGGCAGTAGGCGGGATACATTTAGGAACCTGTGTTCTAGATCAGGGGTCGGTAAACTTTTGAGATGGAAGTTTTGTCCCTCACAACAATTTAAAAATTATTTGAGAGCCCAAATATATTTTTACAAATAAATGAAACCACCGTGATCTGCATAATATCCTTAAAATTTGTTCGCTTTTACTTCAGAGCCACATATTCGTACCGAAGCAGCTGCAGTTTGTCAGCCCCTCCCTGCTCTGCACTGTGACTCCCTCTCTTCCCCCTCTCACCCTGGTGACCATCCAACACGGTTTCTTTTAGTGTGAAGCCTTTTCTTGAGTTTCTCAATAGTGGCCACAAAACAATATGCATCCTTTTGTGATCGACTACTTTTTCACTTGGCGATGCCTTCCAAGTTCATCTCTCTTAGGTGTTTCCCAGATGCCTCCTTTTTCTTGAACCTTGTGAACTATTCCATTGTGTATCTATACCGAAGTTCATCGATTTTTTTCCCCACAGCTAGGCATTCAGGTTGTTGCCATTTTTGCTATTGTGTAAGGAACGTGGGTGGGCCTCTGTCTTCATTTTGCAGCTCTTATTTCTCTAGAACAGACAGCAAGGTGGGACTCTGCTGGCTTACCTAGTATTTCTAGGCCCCTCTGATTGAGGACGGGCCGTACAGCGCTCCACAGTGGTTGCACCATTCTTCAGTCCCAGCTGCAGAGTAGGGCGGTTTTTGGTTTTTTGGGCGTTCCCTTTTTTGAGCTTTCCTGCCAATGTTGGAGTGAGGTGTTATCTCATTGTTTCGATTTGCGTCTCTCATAATGGCTAATGATCATGAGCATTTCTTCATTTGCTTGTTGGCTGCTTCATTCATCGTCTTTGGGGAAGTGTCTGTTCATGTCCCTGGCCGATTTTTTTAATTGGGTTCTTTTTCTTTCTCTTTTTAAAAAAATTTTTTATTAAGTACTTTTATTGGGGGCTCTTACATCTCGTATCACAATCCATACATTCATCCATTGTGTCAAGCACATTTTAATAAGTTGCCATCATCATTTTCAAAGCATTTTCTTTCTACTTGAGCCCCTGATATCCCCTCTTTTTTTTTCTCCCATAGCTGCTCTTTTTTCCCCTTCCCTCTCGCCCTTGTGAATCCTTTTTTTTTCCCCTTTTCATTTTTAAAATCATTTTATTGGGGGCTCGTCCAACTCTTAGCACAGTCCATATATACATCCATTGTGTCAGGCATATTTGTACATTTTCTTTCTACTTGAGCCCTTGGTATCAGCTCCTCATTTTTCCCTTCCCTCCCCACTCCCCTTCGTCACAGACCCTTGATAATTTATAAATTATTATTGTTTTGTCATGTCTTACACTGTCCAATGTCTCCCTTCACC